TTTTGGTAGATATGAGTAATTGCTTCTTTAATAGCCACACATATGCTAAGAGATCTTAGGGATCATTGAATGAATAAAGTTTAATTTTTAGTACTATTTAGATAATTTAATTTTAAGTATGTAATTTTCTTTTAAGTATGTAGTCTCACAAAGTCTGTGCTATAGCTTTCCATGCCCATAGACTATTAGTTAACTATAACATACAGAATTTTTTTCCTCAAATTGACTTGCTATCTCTTAGCAGATATATTTCCTTTTGGATCAAATATGTTTTAAATGATAATTTTATGTGATGATTTGGTTCTACATGATACTTAAATGCCACGTCTCATTATTTAATTAAGTACTACAATGTATTTGGTTTTTTTCATGTGTTGTCTACATCTCTCATAATAGGACACTCACACTTTGCTTTTTGTGATTATAGGTTTATGAGTAGTCTTATATTCAGCATCCTTAATAATTAGAACTGTGTGTGCCTGTAGTTGTCTAGTGTCTGGGTACTCATTATCCATTCATTGATTCATTCCTTAGGCATCTAAAATTTGAGTATTATCTTCCGTATTTATTGATATATGTTGAGAACAGAAAAAATAATTGCTGTTCTTATAATGTTTAGTCTGTTGTGTTTATATTTTATCATTGTATATTGCATTTACCTATAACAAAAGATGACTTGTTCTGTCATGTGTTTATTTTATAGATGCCCCTGAAGTTTCAGTAACCGGATATGATGGAAATTGGTTTGTAGGGAGAAGAGGTGTTAATCTAAAGTGCAATGCTGATGCAAATCCACCACCATTCAAATCTGTGTGGAGCAGGTAATGTTAGATTATGCTTCAGAAGAGAAATCATTTAAACTGAAGAACATTCTTTTTTTCCATACTGAGGATTGAACCTAGTAACATTGTATCATTGAACTATATATTCCAAGAGCTTTTTATTTTTATTTTGAGACAGCATCTCCTTAAATTGTCCAGGCTGGCTTCAAACTTGATCCTCCTGCCTCAGCCTCCTGAGTTGTGATTATAGGTATGGCCACCATGCCTGATTAAATATGAAGAGTAATTTTAAATGCATATTTAAAACTTTTTTTTTATCAGTACATGTATGATTATAATAGCTGAATAATTTATTTAAAGGAATGATTTCTAAATGTTCTGCCTCATTCCTCTGTACTTTCCTACCTTGTCAGTTGCTCACAGGTTGCATTAGCAAATTTAGTCATCCTTTCTTGTAGTTGCCCTCTTAGGTTTTAAGCGGCTGCTTCTTGATTTACCAATTTTTAATACTGTTCACTTCTTAGGTAGATGAATTAATTTTATATCCACCCTTTCA